ACCGCTAATTTAGTCTCCCCCGGTTTACAAGGTATATAGATCTGTGTATTATACGCGTACATATGGTATTTGCAATGCTTAATACAATTTGTTATATCCGCACAATACACGGCAAACAAAATAGGTCCTAGGATAGATCCCTGCGGAACGCCTTGTTTGACAGCCTGAGCGTTCGAAATGACTGGTAACCCATTTTCGTCTGATATTTCTACTTGCTGTATACTATGCTTGAAATAACTTTCCAACCATTTTATCGCAGATATGTCGAAACCGTAGTAATGTAATTTAGACAAAAGCAATGGCACATTAAGACAGTCGAATGCTCCGGAAAAATCAAGCAAGGCTAAAATCGTTCCTTTACCACTGTCTATATCTGATAACATATCGTCGACAACTTTTATCATAGCGGTTGACGTACTGTGGTGTTTTCTAAACCCTGACTGAAGACTGGGAAGCACATCGTTAGTTTCATAGTTTATTCTTACCTGCTCAGCCACGACTTCAAGATTTTTGATACACAGGGGAGTATACTAATCGGGCGTATGTCCTTAATGCTAATATGATTTGAGTTTTTGGGTATAGGCCTGATGAGTGCGTGCTGCCATTCTGAGGGATATGTTTGCGTTGTAATTGATTTATTAATTATCTCCGTAATAACAGGTATTGTTACGGCAAAAGACATTTTCAACATATCCAAGGAAATACCGTCTGCACCTACCGCATTTGACTCTAATGACTGTGTTATTTTACACAACATCACTTTCCTCAATTGTCTTCAGTTTGAATACATTTGAGACTTTGACGTGAGATTTAAAGAATGTCATATATGAAATAGGAACTTGATTATTTCCGGGCACATTTAAAAAGCTTATATTAATCAAATCGGGATCGTTGAAAATATGGTGAAGCAGGTCAGGCTTAGTTTTTAACCTAACGTTTTTTTTATATGTAACCATACAATGCGAGTATCTTTTTGATTATTTGTAAAAAAATTGTAGTAAGCTTTCTTTTCTCTTATTAATGCTTGTGTGCAACATAGTGTTTGAGCTCTTTATAAAGTAGTTTTTGGGCTGCTGTAGGCTTAGTAACACACTGATTTAATTTATAACTGTAACGTAAAGTTCATTTGTAAAGGTCACAAAGCATTTGAATGGGTTGAATTAATTTAAAAGAGACAAAACATACTGTTAGAAGGAGAGGCTAGTAATGCGACACTGTGTTTTTTACTTAATTAGTTTGTTTGAAAAATATTTTTTTTAATTATGGATTTTGTTTAACGTTAATATTTTTTTATGATTATGGTAACGACACGCTGTATATATATATATATATATATATATATATATACATACAGGGTGTCGTTACCATACATACATTACACAAGAATAATATATATAATCGGAATCTCGGAAATGGCTTCAGCGATTTTCATGAAATTTAGTATGTGCGTAGATTCGGGGGCGAAAAATCGATCTATTTATTGTTTGCAGATGACTTAAAGCTTCATCTTTCTATTAGAAACGAAGAAGACTGTAAGAGGTTGCAGATGGATATAGATAGGGTAGTTAAATGGAGCAAAGACAACCGTCTACAATTTAATACCTCGAAGTGCGTCACAATAAGTTTCTCCCGCAAAAACAACCCAATCGTGTATAGTTATAACATTGACGGGACAGTGATTGCTAGGCTCACGGACATCAAGGACTTAGGTGTTCGTTTTACGACAAGACTAACGTTTCGTGATCACATAATAGGTGTTTGCACAAAAGCGTAGAGGAACCTGGGTTTTATTCTTCAAACAGCTTAAGGTTTTACAAACATCAAATTACTGCTTTATACAGGGTGTCGTTGCAACCGCGACAATAAATGAACATACGTGTAACGCTACTTGCTAATAATCATAAAAAAATATATTTTTCAAAGAAAAAAGATTAAAGAAAAAAGAAACAAAATTTGTAACATCCTATACAACTACAACTGACCGTCTCTCCTTCTAACACTATGTTTTATCTCTTTTAAATTCATTCATAATTCTGCTTTGTGACTTTTACAAATAAACTTTACGTTACAGTTTTATACGTAAAGGTGTTCTGAAAATGTTTGTTTTATAAAATTTAATAACTCGGTAAATATTGATGTTTAAAGAGTGTAAATACAATTTTAAAAAGTTATCCTCTATATGTGTGTTCATTTACTGTCGCGGTTGTAACGACACGCTGTATAATACTGTGGTTAGAAGTCACCTGGAATATAATGCAATTATTTGGGCTCCATATGAAACTAAATATAGCCTCATGTTGAAAAGAATACGAAATAAATTCTTGAGATTTTTGTACATGAAACAGTATGGAGTGTCTCCGCTTTACCCGTTGATGTACCCAACTTTATTTATTATTGGAATGGTTGGATACAACACATTATGCCTTAGAAGAGATCTTCGTATGGTAGTGTACATATTTGAATTAATTTGAGGAAATATTCATAATGCGGACTTATTGGGACAAATAGGCTTGTGCGTTCCGAATAATTTCATTTGGCGGCAGCGCAGATCACAGCTGTTTGTGGTACCGCAAGGGCGCTCCCAGTTGTTGAATGAGGCGCCGTGGACGCGTGCACTGCGCACTTTAAATATTATTGCTAGGGATATAGATTTATTCTTGTGTTCTCTGAGTGAATTCAAAAAGGTTGCATTGTTAATTTGTAGTGTAGTAGTAGTTTTTCTCTATGTTGTAGATTGCCGCACTATTCTATTAGGTTAAGTACCTGTAATAATAGTGGTTAATATATATAATGAATAATAGGTTTTGTTAATAAATAAATAAATAAATATATATTTGTCATTGCTGTGCGCCTACCTCTCATTAGTACATAATATTGTTACTACCAGGGGGCTGTTGACATCTTAAATGTCAAGACCCGCGTTAACAGTTTGGAATGACGAAATGATTTTATTTTATATGGTTAGTGTAGGGTGAAAGAAGGTTCTAATTCCAGAACTTTCTTTTAAGAAACGAGGCCGACGAAGGCCCTGATTCCAGATCATTCTGTTAAAAAGACGAAAGAAATTAAAAGAGTTTCAAAAATGTGTTAGCCGCAATTACAATCGAAATTCCGACTATGAAATGAGGTCGGGGCGCGCTAGAGGGCCGTTCAGTGGAAGTCGAAGAAGAAGGAAAGGAAAAGTGGGAAGTGAAGTGAACTGTGTAGTGAACGTTGGAGGCCGACCTTGATATAGGAAAAAAAGGCTAGACATATTTAATTGTAGAAACAAAACAAAACAAATACTTCCGATTACGGCTATCACAGAAAATGTGCTACTATTTATTGAGGACTTTTATTCCTTATTTCAGTCAAAAAAATAATTTAAATCTTTATATATACTAGCAAAAAGCTGAGCTTTGTGAGGGCTCGCTTAGTTGTTCTAAAATACGGTAATACTTTTCAAGACATTTTTTTTCAAATATCATTTTATTATTACTTCGTTTATCAAAGGGAAATCGTTAAGTGCTAATCCTTATGTGTTTTCGCTGAAACGCGCATAAAACGATATGAAAGCGCGAAATAATTATGTAAGACCAATGGATGTTTCCTTTTCCTCATTATCTACAATAGCTTTATATCATGTTAGGCCTCGGGACTCTTGTATTGTAATAGCGAAAGCTAATTGCAAAGGGTTTTCTTGAACTTGTTAAAATTGTTGCTATTTCGATGTTCCATGCAAATTTTCCATAATTTCTCATCGTTTAAACCCTCCCTGGACTGCCACAAATATTTCAAAATCAAAATTAGCCAAATCGGTCCAGTCGTTCTCGAGTTTTAGCGAGACTAACGAACAGCAATCCATTTTTATATATAAAAAAGTAAAGTAAAGTATCAGCCTATTCATGTCCCACTGCTGGGCTAAGGCCTCCTCTGTACAGGGGGTATCAGGGCACAGTCCACCACGCGGCCCCACTGCGGATTGGCGGAGTTCACATATCTTCGAAATATTTTTTTTGTTATTACTTCGAAAAGTATTTATTAAAGTCGGCGAGCGCCCCGACACTGAGCTATCACGGCTATATATAAGAATTTATTTAATTTTTTTTATTTTTATCCATTTTTATACGTCTACGTAGAATAGGCTGAAGGCGTAACAATCAGACAGAAAGACAGATATACATAAATTATTTATGTAAATTATAGCCTATGTCTTATTCTGATGTATAAGCTATATTATTGTAAAGTTTCATTAAAATCCATTCAGTAGTATTTGCGTGAAAGAGTAACAAACATCCATCCATACATACAAACTTTCGCGTTTATAATATTAGTAAGGAAGTAAGGATATTGGAACACAGCCCCAGTTGTTATAAGTTGAATGAGAATAATTTTCAAATCGAACCTTTATCACTCGAGGCGTTTGAACAGGAGGACTATAATTTTCTTCATATACTATACCTTCGACACAACCTAATGCTTCATTGTCTAACCCATTTTCAACCCAAACAATCGCTTAAATAATATATGGTTCAAGGCCAACTAATAAATAGTTCTCCGCCTAATTTGAACACGTGAATACCAAGGGGTCTGGTTCAAGGGCTATTTTATTTTTTACTAGTGAGAAACGAAACAACACTGATGATATACGCGGACTGCTAGGCGAGGCCCATACTGCGTAAAAAATCTAAATAAATTTAGTTTTATATCGATTAAAGGTATGTAGTGGACACTAAAAACAAAGATCAAAATTAGAATTACCAGTAAAGTGAAAAATCAACTTATAAAAATGTACCTAGTTTATGTAAAAAAATAGGAATGTGAAGGACATGCCGAACATTGTTCCAAATTTTTAAAACATAAACGAATTACGCATGAATATTTAAATACATGATTATAGTTTACAATAGGGGAACGCGCGTTTTTCGTTTATAAATATTTTTCATCGATAGAGAAACATAACCGAAGTAATGTAGTATTTTTTATTAATGTAAAAATAAAAATATGTTGATTGAGCCAATTTTAAGACAAAAAAAAAATTAAAATTTAATACCAATTAATTTAAAAAATTAATTTAAATTTTATTTCTTATTGCTTCCCTATTGTTTACAATTATCGACATTAACTTAACATTGCTGACAATTAAAACATTAACTGAACATTACTGTGAGAAACGATTGGTCAAAAAGCTTTGAATATAACACTTACGATGTTGCCAATCTGCTCGAGCTTCCTCGTCTTCACTATTTGCTAAATAATTTGTGCATAAAGGCTCCGTAGGGAAACCCGCCCTTGATAATATTGTAACTTCTTCCTCTGTAATTGATAAGAAAGAAGCCTATTGTTAGTACAATTCAAAGCCAATTTTATTAGCTCAAAATGCAAAACAGAGTAAAATATACCTTCCAAAGACACGCACATAGTCCAGATGCCCCCGTTCATTGGTACTAAAAAGGTGTCTCCGCCTTTCCGATTGTTCGCTTCTTCTATCTAAAAATAATCATAATACATTTTGCCTCTATTTATTTTCTTATTATATATATATTATTTTCTTATTTAATAATTATTTACCCTAAAGACATACAACAAAAATATAATATGTACGTATAACTAATTTATAAAGTCTGTCAACGTCTCTCTTTCTTTTGGAAATACAATTATATTACCTAAATGGTAGTATAGTTAAACACAGGCTCGTGCACAAACAAGCAAAAAAGCACTGCATACCCTGACATCCCAGCAAACATGTATTTATTGTTTCTCAAAATATTCTCCCTTTGCGTAAATGCACTTTTTCATACGATTAACCCAATTTTGCAAACATTTGTGCCATTCCTCCGTGGAGACCACATAAACATGTTTTTCATACTCTTGGAAAGCCTCTTTAGGTAATGAAAATCGTTGACCGCTTAATTGTTTCTTAATATTTGGGAATAGAAAATTCACAAGGTCGGGACTGTATGCAGGATGGCTTATAAGTTCTACATTTATCACCATCAAAAATTAATTTGTCTGTCGGGCTGTGTGGGAACTAGCATTATCGTAGTGCGAGATGGCACGTGGCAAGTGGATACGGCGTTTAGGGTTATTTTATGCAGTCATAACTTTCGGCAAACAAATGGTCGTGTACCAGTCACTATTCACGGTACGACGATTCTTTAAAGCATCAATAGCCACGTGTACAGTTTTATTAAAAAAAAAAGAAGCGATCATTCGCTTAGATGCACTTTGCACACGCGCCGCTTGGTTTCTGATCATCTTGAAAGACCCATACGCTCGAGTTTTGGGGTCGTAGCAATAAATCATGTTTCGTCACCTGTTATTATGTCCCACACCAAATTTGACGCGCGTTCCTTGAATCTGGTGAGCATGGCATTGCAACAAGTGTCGCGGTGCGTTTTTTGAGCCTCGGTCAAATTGTGTGGGACCCACCGCGAGCGTAGCTTTCGCACACCCAAATATTTGTGTAGGATTGATTGTATTTGACTCATGCCTATGTAATAAAGATGCACGGTAGGTCAATCTCATGGTAGGTCACATGCCTGTCTGTTTCGATCATACGGCGCATAACATCGATGTTCTTGTTGTTCACAGCGGTGGACGGGCGACCATCGCGAGATCTGTCACTGAGATTGTTGACACGACCGCGCTTGAATTCCACAAACCAACTGTACGTTTTAGCTTTCAAACAATGTATATCTTCTCCACTATACACCACATGAATACGACCCAAAAAAACTCAATAACAACTAATAACTATTTTTTCCATCGTTAACAAAAGCTCTAATTAGGGGTCATGCTCTAATAAAGGTCATTTTCCTGATCTACCCTTATCATTTAGTCGTCAAACGTTAACCGGTATACTTATGGCACACTGAAACTCGAAGATTACCTAAAAATGGACACATAAATCGAAGAAATTGCTCAAGCGGTTGCCCTATCGGAAAAAGGCCAGAGTCAGCGTCAGTCAGTCTGCTTTCTCCAGAGTTTAACGGCGATACCAGTCTGTTCGTATCACCGTTAAACTCTTGACACAGCTTTAACGGATGACGCGAATTATGCAGAAAATGGTCCGCGTCATATATTTCGCTCATAAATTAGGCTCTATCTAGCGTTCAAGTGCACGCTCAAAATTATTTAAAACTAAAAATCAGGACTGAATAATACAACATTGCCATCTGTCAACGACGAATATAAATATTTCAGTGTTTTGTTTGTTTTAATATCCAGCGGTTTTGTATTTTCTATTTGTCGTCCAAAGAGAGTAATTTAGCAAAATATAAATGTGCCTCACAATAAAACAATGATATTGTATATCCATTGTGCTTTTTGTCACACGAAATGAGAACATTGGGACTGAAATTATCGTTTCAATGGCAGAGGTCATATAGAACGCTTTTGAGGCGATAATGAAATAAAAATAAAACTGTTCAATCTTTAAATTAATTGAGTAATTACTTGTGCATATAGCTATGTTTTACCTATCTTATGTTTTAAAACAGCAATCTTCTCCTGAGGGAAGGATGAAGGATTAAGTACGAAGCACATGCAAACTGGCTGCCCAGCCGTCCTCCACGGCTCCATCCCCCGTGCCGGTTAAGGCATCTAGGCCGTCCGAAACGGCCGAGGCAGGGCCTTCCGAGCCCGCACCCGCTCTATCGCCCTCAGCGACCCCGACCTCAACTCCTCCAGCCGCCAAACCCACGGCCCCCGCGCCTCCCGCCGCCCCACATGCGCCGCAGGATAAACGCCCGCCACCACTATTTATTCAGGACACTGAAAAGTGGCCTATGATCGCGTCCGCCCTGTCAAATAGGATAAAATTCGTCGCGACCGTCACTACTCAGGGCATCAAGCTGCAGCTTGAAACAGCTGATGCCCATCGCAGCGTGTCCCAATTCCTCCGCGAAAAGGAGGTATTTTACCATACGTATACGCTCGCGGAAGACCGAATCCTCCGCGTTATTATAAAGATGATCCCTAGGAACATCGCCACCGAAATGGTTTTGGAATCCCTTAAGGATCAAAACCTCCCTGTACACTCTGTCCACCGCACGAAAAGCAAGCGGATGAAAAGACCGATTGACATGGTCCTTGTCCACCTCGATCTTACCCCAGAAGGTAAGGCCATTTTCAACCTTAAGTCGGTTCTCGGCCTCACCAACATTGAAGTGGAACCCCCTCACAAGGGATCTCTCCCCGGACAGTGCCACAAGTGCCAATTGTATGGGCACGTGGCACGCAACTGCTTCGCCAAGCCTAGGTGCGTCAAGTGCCTAGGCGATCATATGGCACTCCCGATTATCCCAGACCAAGGGACAAGGAACTCCTCAGCAATTTCGGCCCCCCCGCCTGTGTACTCTGCCAGTCGGAAGGACACACGGCCAACTACCTAGGTTGCCCCAAAGCGCCCAAGCGCAAACCATTTAAACCTGCCACTCAGGCAGTTAGAAGGCCGCCGGTTCCTACGGCCGCCTCTTTCCCTCCATTGCGCCCCACGTGGCAGAACCCTATGGCCCCCGCGTGGGCCAAACCAAACCCGCGCATTGCAGAAGCAATGTTTCCACAGCCCACCGCGCAACCAACATTCGTCCCGCCCAGCCCTGCGGCCGGAGGTAACCCCTTCGAGTCACTCACAAGGCTCACCCGTACCGTCAATATGACGGAATTTATGACTTTTGCGGAACAGTACGCAAAAGCAGACCTACATACTAGGATCGACCTCGTGTGTAGGTATCCGCACATCGTGTGTGCGCTCTCCTCTTAGGCCTCTCGATGGCTACTCGACCTAATAGTAACATCACCGCGAATGTCAGTCCCTCTGCTACGCGTAATAACGGCAGAGTTAAACCGCGATCGATTAACGTAGCCTTCTACAACGCGAACGCGTTAAAAGAACAGCGCGACGAATTACGCATTGTCTTACGCTATTATCAAATCGACGTTCTACTAATACAGGAAACGTTCTTGAAGCCCGCGACAAGGGATCCGAATACTCCAAATTATCGTATAATTTGGAACGATCGTGCCGGCGCCCCGGGCGGCGGCACAGTCATATATTACAAAAAAAAACCTCCACTGCGTACCGGTCGACACGCCCGCGCTAACGCATCTCGAGGCCTCGGTCTGTCAGCTGGCCATGACTGGTCACTCTCCCATTACAATAGCTTTCGTATACCTTCAGTGTAGACCAAGCGCAATGGTATTGCGCTCTGATTTTAAGGCCCTCCTGTCCTTAGGGGAGCCACAATTCTAGCTGGCGATTTCAACAGCAAGCACACCCGATGGAATTCCACACGCACCAACAGTCGGGGCGTAGCACTCGACTCGCTATCAGACATGCGCGATTTCGACATCGTAGCACCTGCCGTACACACGCACTACCCATATACTGAAGGTCACACATCGGATGTGCTTGATGTTGCGATAGTCAGAAATATCAACCTCACCATACGCGAATTTGAAGTGATCCACGAGCTTCACTCTGATCACCGACCCGTCATACTTCGGCTAGGGCCCTCTGCTTTAGCCACTCCCGAAACTAAAACAGTTATCAACTGGCACAACGTTAGGACAAAACTTAAAGAAACTTATCCATCCCAAGTAGAGTCAATCCCGGCAAACATTAACAACAAGCAGGACACGGAGACCGCAATTCGGGCTATCACAAGCCACGTCCACATCGTCGTTGAGCAATGCTTGAGACAGGTTCCAGCGATGGATGATCATCGCTGGGCCCTGCCAGACGATGTGCGTGACTTGATGAGACGCAAGAATGCGGCCACACGTGCCTACAATAGATATCCCACCGACTCGAATCGCAGGCTGCTACGTAAATTACAGCGTGAGGTGAAAACACACATAGCGGCCTCCCGAAACGAACGGTGGGACTCCACCTTAACTTCAATTAAACCATAACACCAAGCCTTTTGGAAGCTTCCCAAATCCCTCAAGGGTAACAACGTAACAACGATGCCACCTCTTATTCGCCCCATAGGTACGCCAGCGATGCTGGACGAAGAAAAGGCCGAATGTCTGGCTGACAGCCTCGAGTCTCAATGCTCCCCTAGTCTGCTTCCGGTCAACCCCGAACACCTCCGGAAGGTGAACGAAGAGGTTGAAAGGAAAGCTTTAGAGCCACTCCGCGATCCCGTTCCCCCGGTCACGTGCCCCGAAGTTGAACAATTAATTAAAAACCTACGCCCACGCAAAGCGCCTGGCGCGGACGGAATCACCAATAAGGTGACCAAACTCCTTCCTACTAGCATCCTTCAGATACTAGTAATAATCTACAACACAGCAATGACAGAAGGCTTCTTCCCGTCCGAATGGAAGGAAGCAGAAGTAATAGGGTTCCTCAAACCCTCGAAACCCGCCACACTCCCAACCTCATATCGCCCAATAAGTCTTCTTAAAACGTTTGGGAAGATCTTCGAACGGTTAATATTACGATCCTTCATGGACTCTAGAGGGCTCCCCATTCCCGAACAGTTTGGCTTCAGAACCAACCACTCAGGTACGCATCAAGTGCACCGTATCACGGAGCATGTATTAGCTAAACATGCTGGAAAAGATATAACAATAGATGGCGCCAAGCATTGCTTCAAATGCTAAGAAAACAATGTGGCAGAATGCGTTAAAATTTTCGTCGGTGTGGCAATCAGCCGTTTAGCTCAGTGGCTAGAGCGTCAGGCCGCGAATGCCGAAGACGTGGGTTCGATTCCCGCAGCGGCGACAACCTTTTCGCACTTTTTCTACATATTTTAATGTTCAATCTTAAGTGCAAAGATTAGCACTATAAACAATTTAAAATTTCTAGAACATTCATAATTAAATACAGTCCACTACAATATTATTATACTGATTATGTTATATCACCAATGTGTCTGTCTGTCTGTCTGTCTGCCTGTCTGTGTGTCTGTCTGTCTGCCTGTCTGTCTGTCTGTCTGTCTGTCTGTCTGCCTGTCTGTCTGTCTGTCTGTCTGTCCGTCCTTTTGTCCGTCCATCCGTCCGTCCGTTCGTCTGTATGTCCAGGCTGTATCTAATGAACCGTGATATTTAGACAGTTAAAATTTTCACAGATTTATTTCAACAAATACTAAAAAAATATTTGAGTGTGGCTCCCAACAGACATGATTTTTTTGCTGTTTTTATAGATAATGGAACGGGACCCTTTCTGCGTGCGTACGACACGCACTTGGCAGGTTTTTTATTTCTGTTATTCAAAGTAATCACTAGGGCCCCGATTAATATGTCTAAAATATACTTTAGTTAGCATTCACCGCCCGCATTGGCCTCTCGGCGCCGCGGGTGCACATAATGTTCCACATACACGCGTATGTGCGGGCGGTGAACGCTAACTAAAGTATATTTTGGACATAAATAAAGGATTTTATAACCTTACTAGCGACCCGCCCCGTCTTCGCTCGAGTGCAATTTATTATACATACATATAAACCTTCCTTTTGAATCTCTCTATCTAGTAAAATAACCGCATGTGGTTTAAAGATCTAAGCATACATAGGGACAGACAGACAGCGGGACGACTTTGTTTTTTTTAATGTTATTACTATGTAGTTAAAACAATTAATAAAGTTCTGTTCAGAAGTTTTTCTTTTTATAATTGTTTTAATGTAACTGTTCCTATTACTATTTTTTACAATGAACAATGTTTAATATGAAAGGTATTCTTATTTTATACTTATACAATTTTTTCATACTACTTATATATCTTTTGGTCCAAAATGTACATATTTTGAATTCATCCGAATACATAATATATCATCCGTGCCCTAGTACTCACCCATGCAATTGATGCACCTTTGCCAACGTAGTGGTAGTTGATTGATACCCTTCTTGTAAAAATCAACTGTACTGACGGGAAATCAATTTTTTTCTCGATAAAATTTTGTTAAAATTTTGTAAAAAGTAATAGTCTGTAGGTGCAAGGTCTGGTGAGTGTGGCGGATAAGGGAGAGCCTCAAACGGCAAACCCCAACTCTAGCAGCTTGGAGACTGTCTGTTCAACCGATTGGCCAAAGCTAGTTGCAGATGTGCGAGCTTCTCGATCATTGTCTTAAGTTCTTCATGGTACACATCTGCCCTAGGTACACGGTACAGAATGAAAAATATTTAAGTGGGACTCCCATACAACAGACTTGATTTTTTTTACCGTTTTTATAGACGTACGGAATCATTCGTTCGCGAGTCCGACTCGCACTTGGCCGGTTTTTTTAAAAAAACATTTCATAGCCATGTGAAGTCTGCTAATCAGCAGTGGAGACGTGCGCCCTAATGCACAGAGGAAGCCTTTGACCACGAGTAAGACAAAATAAATTATCACCTTATAATGTAAAACGTCATTTATTGTACATTAACCTGTCAAGTATTTCAAGAAAGCAAAATGGCATACCATTATATTTCGATAATATTCCTCATATTCCATCGAATCTATTACTATTGTGTAGAGATTCACTCATGGAATCCATACAAGGGACAACACACAGATTATTACGTCGAAACCTGTTGTACCTTCACCACTTACAAGTAGGAGCAAGTGCTTATATTGATAAAACGCAACACTTACGCAATACTTACGCTTCAATGTTCGTATTTTTATAGCTAAAGTTTCTTACGGTAAGTTTGTAGAACACTTCCCTCTCTTGGACTCATTATATGTACTTTATTGCGTATTAGCGGATACCCGCGACATCGTCTGCGTTGCTTATGTTATAACAACTTCACCGCTTGCCCCACTTCTCCACGGCGAAAAAACAACATAACTGACACGCGTGAGCTTATAAAAATCGTGCTTAAATAATATAACAATTTTTAGATAAGAGCCAAGCGTACAAGAAATAAAACTAAGAAGATTTAATTTATAGACTGGATATTTACATAAAACTTGTAACTATATATTATTCTCTCAGATGAATCACAACCATCTATAAAAGATAACAAAAAAGAACAATTATAGACATAGATAGATAGATAAAAGAACAAGGGGTTTTCACTAAAAATAACCGATTTTGTACAAAAAATGGGCCATTTAACATTGTATGCTGACGAGGAGCCTATAGAAAAAATTTACTGTGTGTAAAACACCACATACTTTCACCATAAAAGTGATTGACTTATAGCTAATATAATAAGCTTCCTGGAGCATGAAGTTTGTAAAAATAAAACAATATAAATTTAAACAACAGTAACAGCCTGTATGCCCGCAGCAGACAAAGATCTCCGCTATACAGGGGGATTCAACTCGTGGAAACTAGCTTTTCCACAGATTCGGCGTAATATCAGTTAATACACGCGAAGACACCATAAGGGACCCTCTTTCCGTCATCGCCTCGACCGTGGTAGATTTAAGAAGTAAAACCGAATATAAATGTGCACGCGGCCCATGAGGGGAGCACCGTACCTTGGCCACCTTGCCGTCGAGCAGCCAGTGCAGCGCGGTGTCCGAGGCGTTGGCGAGGGCGGCGAGGGCGGCGCGCTCCCACGTCACGTGCTCCCAGTGGTCGGTCATCATGGCCGCGCAGAGCATCGCCGTCGAACAACTGTTCCACGCGTAAAACGGTCAGAGCCAATTATATTCAATAAATAGTTACAAAGAGCGAAAATGCTAAGCAGGGCAACTCTTGTCCCGTGGCTGTTAATGTCCTCGTTACAAAAAGCTATTTCGGTCTCAAACGTGACGGGTTGTTAGCTTGCGCTATACACCGGGAATCTACACGAAGGAGACACACATTGTGGCTCGTGAAATCGAGAAATAATAATTAAATACGAGACGTCACGTTACAAAAATCCGTACATACAACACAACATATAGACCAGGGTCGATAATTTTAAAACCAAAAAAAAATAATTGTAGGTTGAAACACATTGGAAAAGGAAGAGAATATAACAAAAATGAATGGAAAAATAATTTACGGACGATCAGAGGTCGGGAAGTGGAAAGGGGGTGAGTTTTTTAAGGGTATGGGGTTATTTTAAACCTTCATTTACTTGAAGCGAAGATGAAGCAAAGTTTATCATAATTTTATTAGAAACACTATGTCTATGACTCTGTTGCATAATTGCGGGCTTTTCCGGAAATGTTCCATAGCCAGATACCATCCTCTTAATGAAGGCAACGGCATCGGCATTCCAACAACTGTGTTGGGTGGCTAATTATCTATAGGTATCAATAAAGCTTAATAAAATGGCCACGTTTTTCTCTCAAAAAAATCCACCACCCAATTTTGAAAGGGTTAAATGATAAATGTTCATAAAATTTTCAGACAATCATCAGATTAGCTCGGCGGATAGTCCTGTGAAGTATGACATTGCTCCACATGTCTTTTTTTAGTATATACTTAGTGAAGCTTAACCTTACGAAGTCAGGGTTTAGGTCTGTATTTATTTATTTATTTGCAAGAATAAGATAATACATAATGGTCTTAAATCTAATACATAAGTCCACTTATTCTGTAAAACAACATTTTGGAGAAAATGTATATGCATCGTGTTAATCTGATTCATTTGTTATTGGACGACTGAATATCCGATTGGGGTAGTGGGTCTGGGGTGCCTCTTGCGCCAAAGGGTGTGGGTTCGATCCCCACTACTGAGAAAATGTTTTGTGATGAAAATAGTGTTTTCCAGTGTTTGTGTGTTTTATACATATCTCTACATATAATAAAAATGTAACTGATAGTTGTCTGTACATGGAAGATATTTAAAAAATATATTAACGCAATAGAAACGAAAACAATGATTGTTTGTGCGCGATAATCTCAGAAACGGCTTAACCGATTTGGGTGCAATTTTCACTAATGGATTGTAGTAAGCTTCACTTAATATTTAGTGTTAGTTTTATTTAAAGCAGTGTATAAACAAAAAAGTTATATCAACTTAAAGAACTACATTGAAGATTTGTGCGATAAAATGCTACATAATAGCTTCAGTTGAAAACAGATATAGATGAAACGAAAATAGATATAGAAATAGATACAGATGAAACTATTAATTAAAAATAGTTTATATCAATTTAAAAAAATCCATCCAAGTGCGAGACGGAGTCGCGCACGAAGGGTTCGTTACCTTTATCTATAAAAACGTTCCACCAGCACTGAGTAGATTAAAATGTTGTAACTTTGCGAAATCAAACAATTTTTTTGTACTGTTACAATGGCCTTGAACTTAGATTCCATAGGTTCGATTAGACCCTGGATCTGCTAAACAGGAAATGAGCCAGGAACCAGGGAAAGCGGCTGGCCGATATCGACCTGAACTACACTAGAAAGTATTTTTAATAGTGATATGAGGTTATCTATGCTTAAACTGACCATACGTCCCGTTTTGAACGGGACTGTCCCTTTTCTCGGACAGCTGTCCCTTTGACCCCGAACAAATCTTCGGGACGCAAAATTGTCCCGGTTTTCGAAACCGCGCGAAATTTCCCCTATAGTTATGCCGAAACCCAAGTGTTGATTTAATGTCAACCTACAAACAAAATACCCATTTATCAAACAAATTAACACTCCTTCGGATGGCAGATGCGAAAAGTGTCGCACAGTTTAGTGTTTCCCATAGTGGTGCTGGTGATATTGAACTGCTCCAGTTCTGAAGGCGATGCTGATACGGTCACAAAGGTCAACATAAAAGAAACGTGCCAAATTTTATTCTTATTTAAAATGGTCACCTTCTTTATTAAAACAAATTTGTTCCTCTGAGCAATATAAAAATATTTAAAAACATACAAATATTGTTTTAATAAAAAATAGTGAACTGATCATTTTTTCTTTGTATCTTTTAATTTTTAATCTTTTAGTAATAAAGAAAATTAAAAAGTTATGTTTATTTTCATTGTAAATCAATATCCCGTTTTGAGTCAGAAAAAAAGTGGTCAGTTTATCTATACTATAATATTATAAAACTGAAGAGTTTGTTTGAACTCGCTTATCTCAGGGACTACTGGTCCGATTTGAAAAATTCTTGCACTGTTAGATAGCCAATTTATTGAGGAAGGCTATAGACTTTTTTTTAAGAACGATATAAAACGTAGCATATGCGGGCGGAACCGCGGGTGAAAAACTAGTTTATCATATGTATCTAGTTACAAAAGAAAAGTATTACGCTTTGTTTAATTTGGGACTAGAAAACGTTGTATAAAAATGTGTCCTGTCCTGAAATATATATTTATTATTTTATTTGTTTAGAAATGTAACAGGAACGATAAACACGTTTTTGAGTGCAGATTAGCAACAAAATATAAAAAATCAATCTGGAAAAATAATTATTATAAACAAAATTAATTGCATTATTGGCATTGTGGCAATTTTTCTAATTGAAGTTCGCAATTAATTCATGGAATCTTAAAGAAGTGGATTAACAAATGTTACAATCTTTTCAAAGGTGTTTATAGCGTTGACGCATTTGTTTTATGAACCGCGGCATTGCGGCACTACAAGTACGTCATTTACAAAGTAGGTTTGCTCTTAAATAATTTTCTTACCGTAATTTCATTCTTATAGTGCAATTATGCACATATTATTTAAACATACTTTTTAGGCGTTAACAATGAGCCTAGTAAAGTTGCTGGGAATTTTCATTTTGTTAGATTGAAAAAAAAAAATGACGACCATTAACATCGTGGGTAAAATTCGCTATACACCAAAGTATCGAGCTAGAACACTATAATAAAGTACCTTTCAAATGCCGCTTAGTAATGTCAACAAAGTTCAAAGAAATGAAGTTAATTTCTTCTCTCGATGAAAATACCCCACCACATTTTCCACAAAACCAGTATACATGAAAGGATTGACATGAATTTTTGCACCAAATTAATTTATGAACCGAATAGCAACTATTTTATCTTAATTATATCTGGAGGATAAATACTAAGTGAAGGCTTAAGGCCTTTTTTCAAAACCCGATGCGCCCAGATAGGCAACATAATGGCGGATTTCCTTATTGCTCATACAAAATATTATTAATTTTTATCGATGACAAGTAAACTTAAACGGGTGTAAGAGGAAGCTGGTATAGTAGACTTTTATAGTTCTACGATAAAGTGCATGGGATCGAACTCACCTCGTAAGCAGTAGGGTCGCGAGCAGGTAGAACACCGAGGGGTGTACGCCACAATCGCACTCGGGCTGTGGCGTCGGTGTTTGGGCCTCCATGCCTGCGCCCAGCTTGTGGTAGGCGATGTACGCTCTCGCCGGACTGCCGTGGGGAGCAATTTTCGTGGCCTTACACTGAGGTCGCTAACATTAAATTTACTCATCTGGTCGTTGGTCCACTCCAACTACTCGCCTAGAATATAAAATAGAATATTATATTCTCAATAAAAAATAAAATTATAAATTAACCAGACAATTTATAACAACAGATTAGAAAGTGAAATTTTTTCACTCGTCGAAAAGTACAAATTATGTTTTAAGAACAGCAAATGTTGTCTTGTATACGATTAATATATTATGTGCCTATTTTATTTTAATATATTCTGTCTTTATACCTAGATTCATTGTCATTTTTTCTTGGTATAAAAATAATCGAATTGCGAAGGGATTTTTTCATATTTTAACCGACTTCAAAAGGAAGAGGTTACACTATTCGGATGTTTATATTTTATGTACCTATGTTCGGGCATAACTCCGTTATATATAGACAGATTTACAAAATTATTTTTTGTTCGAAAGGGTTTTATATAGCATTATGCAAGTAAATCTATCGCATTGTTTATGGTTGACCTGCATTTGTACATCGATTTAAACTGTTTAAAATCAAGGAAAAGTTATCAACAAACTAATACACAAAAAGAAAAATTCAATATTTCAACAAATATAAAAGCATGAAAAGATGAATCTTACTTTTTTTACATTAATCTGATCCGTAACGTTACAGGCGAAGCACTCATATAACGTCACATTTTATTTAATATTAATAAGTTTTTCAGTTTTTTTATACAAACCAAGGTAAGGTGATACAATTATTTACCGTCACGATATCTAGGAACTAAAGAACTTGACTCACAGACATACTATCGTCTCGACAGTTTTACGCAGACTGAAGAATTGAATTGATATAACGCAACCTATAGGGTTGGGGTGAATAAGATGCAAACTATCGATTTATTTATCATTTAAACTTCATAACAATAAAATAAATACTTTTACTATTTTGATTACCACAAACACATAATATGTCATAATTAATACATACGTAATAATTCAAAATGGTATCTTGTTAGAGTTATTCGCAACGTATGCGGTCCATCAGACATAATAATAAAATAAACATACCGATTAAAGCAAGAATTTTTAGTAAATAGTTTATTAAAAGCTGAACTTTTACAGTTCGCATCGATAAATTAACAACGGTTATGAAACATCCCTACATTGCTAAATATTGGGCGGGCAATAGCTATCGCAGGGGAGGGGGAAAAGTCGATATCATTCGCGTGCGTGTCATTTATAATAGGTATAGAGTTATACACCATGCACGCTCACACGCTGCATCACGGTTTACTCCTTTTAATAATAATTATTGATTTCCTCCCTATCAACGTTCTATAAATATGATGAAAATGAAGTTGTTAAGATACATACCTAACTATTTACATACCACTGCTTTATATGATATGTAAAGTGTATGAATTATTGGATATTTTTAAAATATATATTCACATATATCTTTGGAATAGCGTTACAGCATGAACGTATATCTAAGCGGCACTGAGTGTGAGTACTGAGTACTCCAGCCAACGGGAGAAATGAGCAGAGGGCGATAGCGACAACAGAGGCCGGTCGTCCTTTTCGATATTCAGCCTACCACTTGATCAATTTAAACGCAAAATTAAAAGTAAACTTAAAGCTTATTAAAAGCTTTGATTAAAGCATATTATACCATTGCGGAATATCTCGACGACGCCAATGTGTGGAGTTAATAATGTTTATACTCACGTAGATTAAAATGAGACTATTATACCTATTTTATATTGTAAACTAACCTTTTAAAAAAGAGCAAATATTGAGTTTCTTAGCGCTCCCTTCTCAACAGAAGTCAGAAACTGCATTCGGAACCGATGGTAACTTATTTATCCATCTTTATGTAAAATTCGACTTTCATAAAAAAGCACAAGCATAATTTTATCTAGCGGTCGGAACGAGTAAACTACTCATACTATTCTCAAATAACAGGTTCCACATATTTGATTTTATCACTTTATTTATATTTATCATAATTGCGAATAAAATTTGCCCTTTTAACAAACGCCACTGCTCATCACGGGCTTATTCTCAAAATGAAAATGGTATGATCATAGTCAGCAAATGTTGGCAAAGTGGGGGGTTTTATACAGTTTCCTTTATTTTTTGCCCATTATCAACTGCATAAACATGTATTCATTTAGTAACATCTGCCATCACATTATATCTAATATCATTTTATTTTTATTTTCCGATACTTAAATAATAATTCATTTCCAATACGTATTAAATAAATAATAATAAAAAAAATTATTAGAAAATTATATTGCAACCTTGATTCTAGGAATTTTTGATGAACATCAATCATCCTTAGTAAGGAATCCCTTCCAAATATTATTAATATTTTTTTCCTTAACGATATGGCTGCATTGTCTGGCAACATTTATTGCTTTAACGCCAGAGAAAACAATGGACGAAGCGGGTAAGAGATAGCAATATTTTCAGTGTTACCAGTTTAATGCGTTCATTCAAAACTCTTCCGGCATAAAATGTATTTTTTAAAGGTAACTCAACTGTACCAAATTTAATTCAAATCTGTTCAGCTGTTCCAAAGTCAGATAGTAATAAACATACACACAATCAGATCAACTTTTGCATTAATTATTTTAGTATGTATGTATTATTAGGCATGTTAATGATTGTTTATTTTATATTATAACATATAAATCCGTTCATTTAGAAAGTGTATTTGACAAACAACCAAGTTTAAGGATTCAATAAAATTCAAACAGATAAATTAAATTGGTTTTTTGAATGCTTGAATCCAAATCTTTTCCCGTCCTTCACTTGATGGAAATCTATTATAAAATATTAAGATTAATAATTATCGTATATCAATAGATATACTTTTCGTTTTTAAAAACTAGGGTGAAATTAGAAGCTAGATAGGGCAGCCCAAATGGCGAATTTTATAATTTTGAGGTTATGGCCATGATTGTTTTATGCTATACATAAAAATAGGTACTTCGTACATTAATCAGTATTGGAATTGATTTGAGGCGATGCCAATCAAATATATGACCAATATTAACCCAATGATATCATATACAAATATGAGGACACGCATCATCTACATTATTAAACATCGTTGTATTAAACCGTGACATAAAACAACACGTAATCCTTCTTCTGTTCTGTTTTGACAACCCTACACCATTTTACAATTAAAATTACAATAATATGTTAGTATTATTGTTATATTTTAACGAAAAACACGAAATCTCTCAAATACTTATTCTTATTCTTGACAGTTGACACCAATGACCAGAATCTCAAAGTCAAAATAGCTCCTTGGATGGAGTCTGTCAAAAGTTTTATAGGAACTGCTGTTTGGTTTTTTTTATGTTAGAAATTGGGAAACAAGCTGGCGGTTCACCTGATGTGAATATTGGGACGTGTAATGGCTAACAAGTTGACACTGGCTGAATTCAGATAACTTTTGTTAGTTATCTAAGCAAGCCCTTATTAAAAAAGAAGAAGAAGAAGGAGCCTGCCGGTTACAAGACAAAGACAAATAATGAATATACATTTCTCTTTTACACATTTTATTTTGTCATATAGCTATTTCGTTTCGGTGCAAAAACGAATGCAGTAAATCCTTGAGAAATTCTTCAAAATGTGGGGAACTTTAAATGTGGTAGTACCCCGCAACAGTGTTCACTATTGCAAGAATGGGCAGGTTCGTCCGGGTAAGTCCCACGACCTCACAGAAGACTGGGGTAAAATAGAAGTGTTACACTTCTGCGTTTCGTCTGGTGAGTGAGGTAGCCAGGGCCCACTTTATTTAAAGGTTGCAACGCTGCAACCCTATGTCATGGGCATGCAAATGTCCATGGGCGGCGGTTAACTTAACATCAGGTAAACCGGCAGCTCATTTGCCACTGTCGCATACAAAATAAAAAAACTATATAATTACAGGGATAAAGATAATGGGAATTGTGGGGAATAAAAGGAACCGTATTAGTTCTGAATAAAATATTAATCATTAAATTTATATTATTTAAATTTATAGATTATTATTTACATTTTATTATTTAAAAACATACTTATTCTTCCCGTTCATCTTGCCGATTTGAGCTTTCTCGATTCCCTCTATTTCCTCTTCATTTTGACTATAAGAAAATTCAAATTCGTCTTCTATTGACATGGAATGGCAAAGTAGTAAATACTACATTATTGGCTCCTCCCTTCCCAAACTTTCTAAATACGCATTGTATTTAGGAATTAAAAAAAATAATAAGGCAGATAACAAGAATAAATTAAATACCGAAATTATTACTGCTCGTATGATAACTAAAAACGGTATTTTAAAAAATGGCATTTGAATTAACCACCAAAAAAATTATTATTTGTAACATTTAAAAATAAATTGAATTATAAAAATGTTTTTTTAATTACTTAAATTCTGTAATATTATTATTGTTCTTGGTAAAATTAATGACGATTATCGATATCCTTTTTTTATTTCTTTAAAGTATCATCATTTTTCAAAAAAGTCCTAAGTGATGTTTGATATAAATTAGCACGCTATTCTAGAAAATGGGGAAAAGTGGGGATTTTTTGAATTATTCGTGGGCAATATTACCCATATTGCCCACGAATAATTTAACGATTTTAACAATGTAACGATTGTAACGATGTCGAAAGTGACGAAATATATCGATATTTATTAAAATGTCAATATTGTTCTCGATATATTGAACAGAAACTAGCGATATATCGGATATAGGTCCGAGAAACGCCGTTGTCAAAAAAAAGGTATGTCAATCATCAAAAAGGTGATAACTGATAACTAAACTGTATGAGGGTGTTTTTCAGAAAAATTGACCCTGTGACGATCAGGAAAAATAATTTTGGCTTTACATGAAATTGTTCATATTGTCCCTGGTATGAAATAATTCATTATTAACTAGCTAAATATGCTATTTAAATTAATATAAAACCATAAATATAAGAAATATTCAAGTTTTTCTCTCAGTATATGATGCAAAGTATTCCTGTGCGTCACAAAATGTAATGAATCAGATATAAAACGACCAGGTATCGAAAGAAAATCAACGATTATTACCTTATAGATATGCTTAAAATCTTTCCATAAACATCAATAAGGTAGCATATTTCTATCACATTAATAAACAATCAGGGAAATAGTTTCATGTTCGTCACTTCTTTGACAAATGGCACTTGAAATGTTGTCTTTACTAATGATACGTGTAACAAATTTAAAAATTGAGCAAATTGAGGAATTTTTGGCTATAATAAAATACTGATAATTACTAAATAAACACTATAAAATGAAAAATAGATATTTAAAAAACCATTTTTGTACTATTCAGAATATGGGACAGTGACTATTACGACAAGTGCGTTACGAATAGGAATAATTTGAGCAGTGTCCACACCACCGCGTTTTAAAAACACAATCACAAAGAAGTTAACGCTTTATTAACTTAAAATTGTTAATAAAAGTTTTAACTGCATTAAACTTTTTTATTACACATAAAAGTATTAAAAGACATAGAATTATCAATTTGAGATGACATATAACTTATATTATTAAGGTGATTATTTTAAATTTTTACTTACGAGATAATTATCACAATTACTTTAATCAATAGATGCAATAAACCTTTTTTTAGACATAAAAATATTTAAAGATATAGAATCATCAATTTGAGATCACATAACTTATATTACGAGAGCGAACTTAGTCCTTGGTGATTATCTTAAATTTTTACTTACGAGATAATTATCACAATTACTTTAATTAATACGTACATTACACCTTTTGTTTAGACATAAAAATATTAAAAGATATGAAATGCAATTTGAGATCACATATAAATTATATTACGAGAACAAACTTAGTTGTTGGTGATTATATTAAATTTTTACTTACGAGATAATTATCACAATTACTTTGAATCATAGGAACTTTTTAATACTCTTATCGATGAAGATAATTTTAATATTATTGTATACTTATGTAAGTCATTATAATACTACTTGAATTCAATCATAATTTTAAAACTTAAGCTTCGGCTAAACACGCACGTGTAATCTACTTACGCATTTGAATAATTGTATTATTCAGATCCGTAACATATGTCACAAATATAGTCAATAATTGAAGGGTGGCCACAGCACAAGCTGCATACCCAATTTTTGTATGCAACGCAACAAGTCATATCGTTAGGCACAAAAAATTTACGACGTTTACATAAATGACATAAAAAGTACCTTGAAACTATAGTTTTTAGTGATCTAGATTTCCAGGTGTCGCTAATGGTTTCATAACCATCGCTCTCTATTTTTTCTTCATTATTCTCTATTTCTTCATTCATTACCTTTTCCTGTTTTCTAGGTACATTTAAATTGTTCGAATAAACGTTTTGTTTAAAGCCTGTAGAAGTACTAGGATCTTCAATATTGTATTCAGGACTACAGTGGAAAACACTATTTTGTGGTATAAAAGTAGATACATTTAAAGTTTCTAGGTCAATTTCATGGGTAAGATCAATCAGAACACTTGGGTCAATAGAAATAATTTCACTGATCTGGGAACTATTATCAGTTTCAATGGGTTCAAGGCAATCATTTTTTTTTTGTTTGACTATGAACTAAACTCATACCATCATTCATAATTTGAATCAGATCTTCCTCTGGGTCAAACTATCTTGAATGGAGGTCATTTCACCAACTTTCAGTCTTTGGTCTGTTTCAATACTGAGTGTCTGATCATGTGTTTTAAAGTTAGATGCATGATTGGTATTCTCAAGAACTTCGAAGTCTTCGAATGAGTTTTGGTCTTGGTCAAGCAAAATATGTATTTTGGGACAATGGCAGTTACAAAGACCGCGTCGGTCCCCGCAAAAGCAACTCAGTTGCCTGTAAAATATTGTATTTTGTCCTCCTGACATTATTGATGATGTAATTTCATAGTTTCAGGTACAGGCCGAATTTTATCTGATATAAGATGTTTCATATTGATAATGTCATTATCCGCTATAAAAAAACATTTTACGGACTTCATGCTCTTTTCAAGGTGTTGGTGAGCTTGTTCAGCATCTTTTACATCGTAACCATAAGCCACGTGTTTGTCCAATTGATGTTTAACTGCTCCACCAATGCCATCAGCTACACCCTTACCATGACCACTCTCTGAAAATGACCAAGTGTAGTAATCAGCGTTCATTTTATTTGCAAAAAGATTGATTAAATAAAAGTTTTTTTTTTCCTATATTGGCTACATGGACCATCAGAAAAAAAATGAATTATTCGTATGTTTCGATCCAACTGCGTTGCGAATTTTAAGATTGGTAGTAAATGTGCCCCGATAGCATTGGGTTCGTGGCATTTATTGCTAAATATGGTGACGAATGATTGTGATTTACTTTTCCAGTATATCATACCACAATGTAAAGTTATATTATTTTTCGAAGCTCCAAAATGCATAGCCTGTATTTCTGTACCAAGCTTGCACTCATAGTTCTCACTGAAGTCGCATAAGATGGCTATTTCGTTATCGTGTAACCCATTAATGCATTTTAGGTATTGACTTTGTTGGTGCTTCCAATTATAAATATGGGATTTAAAGGATGGAAGTTCTTTTTGAAACTCAGAAAGTAGGGTCTTCACAATTCCTTTTTTAAGTTGCTTTGAGTTTTTTTTGGTAACAAAAGTTTTGCCCGATTTTGTATAGCTATGACTTATCCTTTCCCACTTGAACCAGGTAATATCATCATCCAGTTTTTCTCGCTTATACTGAAGCACAAGAGTTTTGCAATCATCACATTTACTATACATACAGGTGTACGACTTTCTATCACAGGTTGTTTGAGTAATAACGTCTTCTAGATTTGTATAACTTAAAACATTATTTTTTTTAAGCGCAATAAAAATATTTTCTACGTTACTATGTTTTATACATAAGCATGTGTTTCTATTTCTAACCGTGGGTGATAAAATATAAAACGGCTTGTATCTAAAAAAGGTAGTAAAACTGTACTTGTAAATATTGTACAAGTTTGCAAATGTGTCAGTCAGGTACCTAATCTGCATCTTTTGTTTTCCTCTTGTTCTTGTTTCATGTTTTCCTGCTGTACATCTACTTATGTCATCCCTGTTATAAAATGTCTCGATATGTTTTGGAATATTACAGTTTGGTAGTTTCTTTTTTGTATACCGTATCCGACTTTTTAATCCTAAATATTTTGTTATGTCCATGACTGACTTACTAGCTTTTACATTCTGATTGGTTGCTATATTTTTTAACAATCGTTTTTTCTTTTTGGGTATTTGTGTGTTTATAAACTGTTTTTAAAGAATATTCTAATACTTCTTGACGTGCTTGAAGCTTCTCTATTTCGCGATTCTTTCTTTCATGCAGAAGTTTTTTCGCGGTAATATCGTTTGCGACTAGTTTCTAACATCCTATGTAATTTCTGTATTTTATCTAAAGTTTTCTTTATTACATTTGTTTAGTTTTAGTTTTTTCTTTCATCTCTCCATAATTTACGTTGTTTTAATTTTTCCTCTTCTGTTAGATCCGCTATCTTTCTCCGATTCTTTTTAGTCTTGCCAATTGTTTTTGGCGCTGAACTTCAAATTTTTCAGGATTTTGTTTTAATTTTTCACGATATCTCTTCGCCCTTTCTGCTGCCGTAAGCGCCATTCTCTCCTTTGTTGAAACGAACGGAATAATTACTTTCTACATTAATCATTAATTATTTCCTATCACACAAACCTCACACTCATCCTCGGGAACATGATCATAAATAGAATGCATACAAAAAGAACACCAAAAAATGGAGCACTGGAGTAATTTTCTGATATCACTTTGACTCATCGCCAAAGTAAAGTGCTGAGGTTTCATACTGTTGTTGTTTTTTCGCCGACATCCGAAACACTCCGTAGTAATTATGAAATGTGTAACAGGCCAGGGCCACTTAGCATTACTAATGTAACATTGATTTAAATCAAAATATGTTAGGATTTTGTCAACGTCCCAATAGACTACCATAGCTGCTAGCAGAGTGATCATCCATAGGAGTAGGTATGCTAAATGCGAAATTTGACCTGAAAAAAAAGTATCTTTTATGTTCAAAGCTGGCAAACGAGCTGGCGGTTCACCTGATGTTAAGTGATAACCGCCGCCTATGGACATCTAAAAAACCTAACAGGTCAGAGATGCATTGCCTACATTAAAAAGAGGGCCCCGGCTACCTCATTCATATATATGTTCTATGGCTATATATTTTTAAATAATACGTACAAACATCAATTGCCGCATTAAAAGTGAGTAAATAGTAATGTATCTATAGCAATCGGGAATAATGTAGCTTTCTTTTTTAATATTATTTTTTTTTTAATCCAATGAGTAGTTACGGAATTTACCATACCTATTAAGAAAATAAGATAGCATGTAAGTATCTACTACGTGTGAACTAATTTAAAATAAAACTAAAAATTTTAATTAATAATTAAATTAAAATTTAAAATATTTCACTGTATACTAAGCTTTACAATTCAAGTTCGTCACGATTTTGTTCCGATAGTATGTCACATGACGCACAGGAGGTGACGTTTAAATCCCACGAAACTTTTAAAATTAAAAATAACTAATATTTTGTTAAATCAACTTGTTTTTAGCTTTATTAATCTAATAAAGGTTAGTTTATGTTTTATAAACAATATGATAAAGTAAAGAATACGAGTTTATTTACCTTTTAAATACTGTCACTAGCCAGAAAACTTTTTCTGGACGCCGAAGACACCAACACTTTCGTCTCAGTTTTTGTTCCAACTGACGTCAAAAACAACAATGGCGGTATCAAAAACGATCACAATGTTACCAGGAAGGAAGAAAAATACACAAATTCGTAGATTTAGTCTTATGTAAAATACCAAATTCACCGTGACGAAACGGGATTTTCCGGTACTAAGGTTTTCGTAGGACAGCATTAAAATAGTTATATTTTTAAAATAACCATAAATTTATCACATATAAACTTGAAAAGACACTTTAAGACATACAGAGACTATGTTCAAACACTTAAACATACTCAAAGACCAATATTCTACAAATGAGATGTATTTGAAGTCTCCGAGAGTACTGTGGGACACTCGAAATCTTCACCTCCTATTTTGCTTTTTTTTTAATATAAAAATAAATATCCGCGTTTTATGACCCTTTATAATTTAATTCTATTTTAAAACATTTACCTAGGTCATATGAAATTTCACTTTTACATGTCCTATATAAGAAAGTAAAAATAGAAATGGTCAAAGTTGTGGGACAGTCCGATTTTGCTAGGGTCATTTTTTGTGAAAAACACCCATGAGTCTGTGCCGCCGGATTCGAATTTGAAAAAAATATAAATTTTGATACGATTTTCTACATTGAATATTTTGTATCGATTTATTCGATAAAAAATATCGATTTACCGATATTTTTTCGACATCCCTAACCCCTGATACAACTTCAATAACTTCATGTTATTTAAAATTAAAGAAAGCGCCACATTTTTGTAAATTAGTGTATTTAATTTTAATTTTTTTTGCTATTCATTGGCAGTCTATAACGACCGTACAAAAAAGTGGCTGTCTTCCGTTAATCAACATCATTATCATCAACTCAATGTAAGTAGTCATTGAAAATACTGCTTTTTTTTTTCTTAATACTCACCAAAATTTTTAATTTGGCGGTAAAGAAAGAAGTTTATTTTGCGATGCAGTATGTATACAACAACTTAATTATTTAATCCTGCGAGTAACAGTATATTTTGTATGGCACGTGTCTTCTATTAACATGAAATCACGTTGACGGTTGACCGTTAAAACTAACAATTGGTAGGTACGTTCGAAAATTTGCACTATTCCTAAATTTTTATGTATGTGTTATACTTTCTATAATGTGTTATCAAAATATTAATTTTTTTATCGGTATAAAGCTTAGCACCATCTTACCGGTACTAGGAAAAAAAATTGTTACAAAAAGAAGCTAGTATCTTAAACTCATAAAAATAGACCGAAAATCTATGTTGAACTTCATCTATATTGTTAGAACGATATAAGAATAACTAAACTATGGAAAAAATGAAAAAATGAAACTAATTTTGTTGTTTCTTTAATTTCTAATATTGAACAATAAAAGCTAAGTATATAATGTTAGATATAAAGCAATTTGATTTGAACATTTTAATATGTTTAAGATGGCTGATGCACCAGAAGCAAGTATTTCATCAGCAACAGAATTGCTTGCAGCAGGAAGGCGAAATCTTGCAGTTAGAGATTACAATGCAGCCGCTGAAGCTCTTGCAAAAGCCTGTGAAATTCTTGCTAAAGAACATGGTGACACTGCCGATGAATGTGCTGAGGCGTACTTATGGTATGATGATAGAAATAGTTAACTACATAGTGACTAAAATATTTAAGTTTTACACTAAGTATGTTGTATGCCAGTTGGCAATGGCTCGTTTTGGCCTGTAATGATTTTAATTCTTTCTTAATTTGCATGGTAACCTTTGAAGATGAAATTTTAAATACAGTCTCAGAATGAGCTGCATAAATTTGTGTGTAGCATAGTAAATAAATAAATAAATAAAAATATCTTTATTCACATAGACGCTTGCGCGTTCTTATGAAACGTCAAAATTTTACAAGAAATGAACACGTTCGTAAGTGTAGCATTAGTTGTCCCTGCTTACCCTTTTGGGATAAAAATATAGTGTTTGTGAAGTTTTAATCCATTTTTGGGCATTGTCTACCATGATCCTACTGCAGACAAGGTATCTACAGGGTTTTTTTAATTTCATATTTATACAAGTTTATTGGTTTTTGCAAGGTTGCACTTGATTTTTCCACCACCATTTAGCAAGTGATGAGTAAGCGCTTAAAATTGCAATTCACAATTTCAACCAAAATTTGAACTCAAGTAGCTTGAGTATATTGAATTAATAGCAAATGCCCACACAATGAGCTGTCAAGGCTTGTTTCATTGTAAGCAAACAAAAAAGTTATTTAATATTTCTGTTCTTCATTTGATAGGTATGGTAAAGCTCTTCTAGGACTTTCAAGAGAAGAAAGTGGAGTCCTCGGAGATGGTGTGCCAGGAACCAGTAATGGTGATGATGAAGAAAGTGATGACAACAATGAAGGTTTGTTAATATAAAAGCTTAACATCACTTGAACAAGTTAAAATACATGTCAAATCTTAAATATTATGTACTATGATACAAGTGTAAACATTTTGTAGACCAAGAAGAAACTGCTGAAGAAGATCAGAATGGACAGATGGAAACTGAAACAAAACCCAAACCAGATAAAGAGAAAGAAAATGCTGAATATATCAGCACTACTGAAGTTGAAGTAAAGAAGATAGAAGCTGAATCAACAACTAAAGATGATGAACCAAGTAGCAGTTTGTCAATGAGTAAACCAGTTAGTATTATTAAACTTTTTTTTATCTTAGGTATAATTTAATAAGTTTCACAATATATATATATACAGCGTGTGGTTACAACCGCGACAATAAATGGACACACATGTAGAGGATAACTTTTTAAAATTGTATTAATCGTTTTCATTCTTTAAACATCAATATTTACCGAGTTATAAAATTTTGACAAAACAAACATTTTTAGAACACCCTTATGTATAAAACTGTAACATAAAGTTAATTTGTAAAGCTCACAAAGCATATGAATGGGTTGAATGAATTTAAAAGAGATAAAACATACTGTTAGAATGAGAGACTTGTAATGCGACATTTTGGCAATGAATGAAAAAGTTTCTGATTGTATGAATCAGTCAGTTGTAGTTGTATTGGTGTTACAAATTTTGTTTCTTTTTTATTTAATTAGTTTGTTTGAAAAATATATTTTCTTAATTATGGATTTTTTAATGTTTTAAATTTTTTTATGATTATTGGTATGTAGCGTTAGACATGTGTTCATTTATTGTCGCGGTTATAACACGCTGTTATGCAGACATGAATTACTTTACTAGAAATTATACTGTATCTATATAGATAAATAAAATTGAAGAGTCTGTATGTAAATTCAAATAATGGTTTTTTACTAAATTCAAATGGATATACGGTACATATACCAAAATATTTTATCAATACACTAGCCGTCCCCGCGACTTCTTTCGCGTGGTATTATATATAGGAGATAAGTTAAACGTTAGACGTTAGATGTTATTTATCACGGAACAACAGGAACAGGGCACCTCGAACGGGCAGGCGGCGGAGGAGTGCGAAGCGGAGGAGGTGGACAACCTGCAGCTGGCCTGGGAGATGCTGGAGCTGGCGCGCGGCATCCTGGTGCGGCGGGGCGGGGGCGGCGGCGGGGCGCTGCTGGCCGACGCGCTGCTGGCGCTCGGCGAGGTGGCGCTCGAGAGCGAGACCTACGACAAGGCCGTGCTGGACATGAGTGCGTGCTCGCCCCTCCTACTCCGCCTCCACACTCACCTCCTCTCTCTCGCACTCACCGCCTCTCTCTCGCTCTTGCAGTGAGCTGCTTGGAGATTCAGAAGGACCTGTACCCGAGTGACGACAGGCGTATTGCAGAAACACATTACCAAATTGGTAACATACACCTTAAATTTATAAATTTTATTGATTTTAAAACTTTATTTATGTGAGAAGGTGGCAAGTGAGTTGGAGGATCACTCAAGTTAAGTGATAAAAGCTGCTCATGAAAATTTGCAACACCATTAGGGTATTCTATAACATCATTATTTTATAACAATTTAATACTTTAGGATTAGATATGTTGTTGAAATTATTGTTTCCTTCTATTTGGACGTATAGTCTATAAGAAGGATGATAAAAGACGTTCACTCATTGCGAATCCGCGATGGTTTGCAAGTGCCCGAAGAGTGTACCCAGAGTCTCCCTCGTTGTCAAAGTATCTAAGAATAATCTTCATCTTCAAACAATTGAATGTTAATTTAATTACAACGGCGCTGCGGTATATATAGCGTGTCGTTACCATCGCGACAATTAATGAACACGTCTAACGCTACTTGCCAATAATCATAAAAAATATTAACGTTAAAAAAATCCATTATTAAAAAAATTTTTTTTTCAAACAAACTAATTAAGTAAAAAAGAAACAAAATTTGTAACATCCTATACAACTACAACTGACTGATTCATACATTCAGAGACTTTTTCATTCGTTGCCACGGCGTCGCATTACAAGCCTCTCCTTCTAATAGTATGTTTTGTCTCTTTTAAATTCATTCAACCCATTCATATGCTTTGTGACCTTTACAAATGAACTTTACATTACAGTTTTATACGTAAGGTGTTCTAAAATTCTTTGTTTTGGAAAATTTAATAACTCTGTAAATATAATATTGATGTTTAAAGAATGTAAATTTTTGGTACAATTTTAAAAAATTATCCTCTATATGTGTGTTCATTTATTGTCGCGTTGGTAACGACACGCTGTATATAAGGTGTCCCATTAAACACTTTTTGATTTAAAAATAAAAACACATGTTTATTGAGCAAGTTAAGATATTTCTATTGAATTATAAAGTAGACATGTTCTGATTAATCATGGAATAAAATATCGGACAAATGGCCACCGCTGCTCTGATGACAAGCCATAGCTCTTTTCATGAAATTTTCGATGACTTTTTCACAAAGATTTGGCCGAATTCGACGCGTTGAGTCTCGGCCTTAAGCTCAGGAATTATTTTTGTTGTGAAGCGCTGCGTTTTTAATATAATCAGAACAATCATAGGTTACCCCTCTAAAATTTCAGTTGACACCTGCTCAGAAAAAACATTACACAAAATTTAAAAATTGCACTCTTATTAGGACACCATATATGTATGCATCATCTGCCTACACGTATACATGCATCAGAATTTGCTTTACGCCTCAAAATACATGTGTCCCTACAAGTACTTATTACTATTTATTATAGAATTAAGCCATACAGGCCACTGCTCTGCATGAATGAACCATCTTATTGAAGGAAGTACCACAATTTCACAGAAGACTGGCATTATATGCAAATACTTAGTTTCCTTTTTTATCTGGTGAATGAAGTTACCAAAGCCAACCCCCTTAGACATTTTTAAAACTGCTTCATATAAGGCACTTGTGCAACATTAACCCTAAATTATACCTCTAATATTACAAAAATACCTAATTTCCTTTTAGTTGAATGTTTATTTATTTTGGTAAATTAGACTAATAATGTAATATGATATCAACAGGGCTTGCCAATTCTCTTGCATCAAACTTTGAAGATGCCATCACACATTTTAAGAATGCAGCTAACATTTTGGAAACGAGAATCAAAAGTCTTGAAAATGTTAATGCTGCAGAAGATGCAACTGTAAAGAAATACTCATCATCTGACCCATTGTATTCAATTGAAGGAGAGATCAAGGAGTTGAAGGAATTACTACCAGAAATACATGAAAAAATTCAAGATATGATGGATTATAAAGCAGAGGTAAGACCATGTGATTGCCTTGAGGATACCAGGAGAATGCTGCGAGGTCTCATTCTTAAGGAGCGGGAACGTTCCTCTGTTATTGTTCAAATATAAATGTGATATTTAACAGTTTACAATCACATTCCATTTTACCCAACATTTCTTTTCGTAGTGTTAAACCTCAAAATAAAAGAGAGGATCTGTTTCCGGGAAATATAATAGTTTACCATAAGCCTTAAAAAAAAATCAGTATTATTTTGATGCTAATGCTGTGCCTTTTATATCTGAATGTAAGTTATTCTGTAGTGCCTTGTGTTAAAATGAATTAAAATTTTTATAAATAATCTTTTTTGAATTATGTATCTGATTCAAGTTAATATTATAAATGTTTCTTGATTACATTTTGTATTTTTTAAATAATAACATTTATAAAATAATAGCCTTATAAATATAACATAACATATAACTTACATAGGAACTTTTGTTCATATTAAAGCAGATTAGGACAGATAAAATTGTGTTACTTATCAATAATTCTTAGTATATTTATTTAATAATAATAATAGTCACTAACATCATTTAAGCTGTTGTGAATGATGGCAAATTTTTTAGATCTCAAGTTGCATTTACTGTTTCTAGCTCATAAGTTTTTCAATAGTATGTAAGATTTTCTTCACATAATTGTTACAAAACTACCACAAGGCCATTTTTGTATTAAGCTGTATACATTTTTGTAATAAAATAAGCAAAAGCTGCCCGTGTCTTATTTCCTTACCGTCCAATACAACAATGGCCGTGTGGGTGTGCCGGCCCGACTACCTTCCCTTATACATTTCAATTAAAATTAAAAAAACTTATTTTGTGGATATAACTGAAATATGACAGTAATAATGTGGTATTAGGTGTCAAGTACCAGTCAATCCGAGCGGTACTGTAGTTTTCAGTACCTATACAGGGAGATTTTTTGAGAAGTGCCCAAATTTACACAGGAGGTTCAGACTCGGTATTATAATCGTTTATTGAAATAAAAAACAAAGTTTTTTTTCCAAAGAAAATGTCATTCTATTGCCTAAAAAAAAAAACGTGTTGACAAAGCGGTAGCCATTTATGAATACCTAAATATTAATGTGCACGAAACTTGTGTGCGTGTTAGTTATGAATGATCGCGCGTAAAATAATTGAATTGCGAATAAATCACGCACGTGTGTGATGTGTCTTTCACATAATTAATTGCTTACAGGCAATTTTAAATATTTATCATTTTTTATATAACACTATTTATGTCTAGAATTTAATAAAAAAAAATGTATACACTTAGAAAAGCCAACCTGTATATTCCAATACCAACAGCGGCGATTCGTACTAGAATGATTAATTTATTTTGGACTATGACGCTCCGTCGAACTGAAGGGCCGCTAGAGCCCGAGACATGGAGACGCGCGCTTTGTTGCAGACGAGGAGGCGCGTCCGCGAGACGCTGCTGGGCGCCGCCTCCCCCTCCCCCCCCCCCCCGCCCCTCCCCCTCTGACCCCGCCCCCTCCCGCGCCCCGCCGGCGCCCGCCGCGGACATCTCGCACCTCGTGCGCAGGAAGCGCAAGGCGAGCGGCGAGGCGCCCCCCGCCGCCGCCGGCGCCAAGCGGCCGCACTCGTGAGCGGCGCCGCTCCGCCGCGGAGCATCGAGTGTCTTCGTGTGACGTCGCTCTTTACGATTTCTACATGTCGTGCCTTAAAGTGATACCGAGATATGGTAACGGTGTCGTGACTATAATTAAACGCGAGTCCTAATTAAAATTATCGGGTGTTCATATTTATTACAAAAATAAGTTCGCCCTGAGGATCGAAAGGATTTTAAATTTCTTTAACTTTATATAAAACTGCTTTTTTAATCCTACGTTCTATTCCTTTGTTGTCACATATATGACTGAAGTAAAATTAAGCCCAATTGTTTTGATCTAAGTTAAAAGTGGTTTTAGTCAATGCACATATATAAATTTGCCTTTGTGGGCGGGCCACCATGTTGTTGTGTGTGATTTAGGTGCACATTGTCTCTATGCGCGTAATTAGCTCATCGGTCGCCGGTCCGGTCGGTGATTAGTGCTAGAGTTTTTCGCAGTGAGGTAAGGTAAATCAATGTTTAGTTATGCATATTTAATTAGTTAAAAAGAGTAAATTTAATAAAAGAAATCAATAATATTTTGAAAATAATTCTAATAATGTATTGCTTATTTTAGGGTCGTCAAATGTTTATCACTTGAAGTTGATAATTTTTGTAAACAAATGAACAAAAACTTTCGGCTTTATAAGGGGTAAAGCGTCTGGTTTCGGTTTGCAGACGGAACCTGCGTCTTTCGGTTGAAACTAGCCGCTTAATCAATAAAATTAAACGGCTAATGACTTCACTGCGCAAATTTCTCAAACCTTCCGACGTTTTTGCATTTTTAGCAATGCTTGGCGCCATCTAGTGTACATCCTTTACACAATGCCACACCTTGCAAAGAACATTCATTGTTTATCATTGTCTTCAAATATAATAATGTCGGTTAAATAATATGAGTACGGTACTCCCTTGCAGAAGCTTTGGGAATTACTGAAAGAACAGTGCAAAAAATATTCAACGATGTAAAATTTTGCTAGCACATATTCAACATTAGAAAAAAAGTATTACCTATTTTTATCAAAAGTATTTATTATTTTCTTAGAGATCCCAGATTAATAAAACAACTTGTTTTTTTGTTCATTACCATTGAGCTTGCTAACGCTACATGTAATTACGCACAATAGAGGCCGTGTCTGTACGTCTAACAGCTACAACTGTAGCTCACCTGCTCTCGTGAGATAAAACATCAATGACTTTTTTTTTTTTTCATTTTGGATTCTCAATTAGTATATCGAACTTTTATCATTAAATTTAAGTATTAACTGTTATAATATTTTTCAATATCGATAAACTTGTTACAATCTCATTGTATATTGTATATGCTGTCAATAAAATTTAATTATACGTCAAGTGTGATGTTTTATTTATACAATTGAATGGTTATAAAATTTTATTATTTACAGATATAATAAAAAAGCGACATACGTCGTATAAACAGATATCATAGTTTTTTTTTGGCATTCATAGCTTATGATGATTTATATCTCTTGCGTGTGCAAATTCGCGCTATGTACAAGTATCGTTTTTGGGACGTTCAAACTTCAAATTAGGAAAGTTATCTTTGAATTTTAAGTAGTAATTAAGGATAGTAACCGATATTTGTTCCATAACGTCTTCGCCCGAAATGAACAATCAGTTCAGTGAACAACAGACAAACAGTCTTTTTTGTAAAACTTCATTGGCATTTTCACGCCGCCACAACATTAGTGTAAAATTAATTTAAAAGAAAGAGGCAGATCTATTTGGATACCATTTGGAAACTTTATTCAAGTATATTTCATCATGTATATTGTTCACTCTTATATCCAAAAGCATTGTTAAAGAAACTATACCAAAAAAATATTACTTAATTTTTTATAATAGATGGCGCTAGTGAAACCAGTTGAGATTTCTGTATCGCGCTAGCATTTGTCTCACCAAGATTAAAGAGGTTCTCGACTGTGGTTATGTAAAAGCTATAGTCCGATACCATGGGTGAACAAAGTTAAATATTTAGGTGTCGTCCTTGACTCCCAACTAAGATTTAACCAGCACGTGACTCGGGTCAAGAACCGGGCGGCCTTCGTTCTCGGTCGCCTCCATCCGCTCCTCAACAAAACGTCTAAAAAATGTCCCTTCGCCCTATTATGACGTACGCGAGTCCAGTTTTCGCACACATTGCTCCGAAGCAAATTCACCGGCTTCAGGTCATCCAAAATCGATTTTTGCGCAGAGCCACGGGAGCACCCTGGTACATGCGCAATATCGACCTTCATGTCGATTTAGAGTTGCCCACCATCGCTCAATTCCTGAAGTCGGCGTCGCGCCGATACTTCCATTCCGCCGCCGCGCATCCCAACCCGCTAATCGTAGGTGCCGCCACCTACAGACCCCTGCCGCTAGGTACGTTCCGCCGCAATCACCGTAGACCGCGACACGTTCTCGATTTCCCTGACGATGAGACGACTATCGCCATCGAAAGGATTAAAAAACTTCGCAAGCACACCAACACAAACCGCACTCGCCGGCGAGTGCGCAAACATATACTAGGTTCCGCCACGTACCTGGCAGGTTCTCCCCAGTTCAAGATAGAAGCGTTGCTGGAGTTTCTTCCGCCACTTCTTCTCCCAGCGCCAACGCTTTACGAAGTGGTAGTAATGATAGCTCTAGAGATCCCCCCAGTCAGATAACAGCTACCGATCGAGCCGAGGTCCGGCCCTCTCGGGCACCCTCGAATCGGAATGCTAAAACGCGTGCTGAGTGACAGCCCAAGCCGAGGTCCCCTCTCGGGGACCCTTGAGCCAGATCACTCCATGGAGCCCCCGCCAAAGCGCCCTAAGAGCTAGGCGGCCTCCCAAACCGGTGAATTAAATAGCGTGACGGCCCGAGCCGAGGTTCCTTCGGGAGCCCTCGAGCTTAGTCACCATAACGCGTAATAGTAAATACGCGAGGTTCAGGCTAGGCGCCTCGAGCGCCCGGCCACCTCAAGTCCGTCGGATCTGTGAAGGCCCCTAAGGCCAACAGTGGCTCATCCAGCCAAAAAAAAAAAAAAAAAAAATATGTAAAAGGTGCGAACATTGTGAACCTAAGGCAAACCAAATTGGAACCTTATACCGAGTAAATATTACAGTGTTTATTTCTCGAAAAGTGTTTTCATTTGTGCATAGCCGAAATATTCCCCTGGGGATTTGAACAAGAACAGTGTCTTGTACATGGTCCTTCAGAGTCGGGTAACCGAAGGCACAGTGTTTTTTCGCCACAAAGCTGCGGGCAGTGGATTGCTGGCGCAAACGCAGTTCTGCAAGGAGCTTTTCGACCTTGACCACTGAAGAGTCGGTCGTGCTTCGGACGGCGCTGTGGAATAGCGGTGCTCGTCAGGTCCAGTCAATCGCTTGGCGCGTGTGAACGCGAAGGCGGCTGTTTGGAGGATACAGTGATACCAGTCGCAGGGGCGCGACGGGTATATCTACGGATAAAATCGCCGCGGTCACGTGACCGTGGATGCAATCATCTGGTGAAGTAAGAAATCGAATTCTATTGGTGAGGTGACAAACAGTGAGTACTTTGAAGTGATATATCAATAATTCTAATATAAACAATCTTTAGTGACTTTAAAAATTTGTAACTTTAATTAACTTTGTTAAAATTCTTAATAATTTAGTAGTTTTAAAAAAAAAATTTGCATGAGTTTTTGGGACTCAGAGTAATTTGCAAATAAACGGAGGTACGGGGAACCTATGCCCGAATTCGGCCAAAGTTTATTGATTTCCAAACACTTAGAAAAATTTTAATATTTTTGTTTGTTATTAACTTGTAATATTTTACGTTATATTGGTTGGTAACAGTTATCGTTTGCACACTTTATTTTTGTTAGTAAAATGATGGAGTCTCTAATATTCTTTCAAGAAGATATTAATGCGCGTATTTCCAAAGCCTATACAAACATAAAAAAGGCATCGAAAGAAAGAAAAACTAAGGCATATTTGGAAGGTCGGCTCGAGTCACTAATGTGTGCAAGTGATCCTAAGCATTAGCAAGCAAGAATTTGGAATATGTGGCGAACGATTATTATGATAAAACTGAAGAAATTTATCGTGACTGTAAATGTTATTTAAAGGATAGTTTGTCAGCGTTCGATATTAACCAACCAGGCCCATCTGGCAGAACATTAACGTGTGAAGGTAAAGCTAGGCCTGAAATTAAACTTCCTAAAATAAATATTCCTACATTTTCGGGAAACTACTCTGAGTGGTCTACATTCCGAGACTTGTATGTATATTTAATACATAAAAATGACGGCATACCGAATGTTCAAAAATTGCACTATTTAAAGGGTTACTTGTCAGGGGAGGCCGAACAGATTTTAAGGCATATTCCGATCGTAGACAGTAATTATGAAAGATGTTGGAATTTATTAAAGGAACGATTCGATAATAAAAAGTATATTAGTAACCAGGTTTTGAAAAGATTCCTCAGTCAACGAAATTTAAACACTGAATCTGCAAGTGGCTTAAAAGACTTAATTGACACCACGAATGACTGTTTGGCATCGTTAACAAATATTGGTATTGATGTAAAAAATTGGGATATTTTAGTGATTCATATTCTCACTCTCAAACTCGATTCAGAAACTAAAAGGCAGTCGGAGTTTAATGTTAGTACCAGCAATGGTTCGGATGAGCTTCCAACTTATAATCAATTTAAATAATTCATAACTAATCGTTATCGAGCTATTGAATTTCTCGATCCCAAGCAGAGTTCGGGGAGCAAGGGATTAAATAATAAGATTCAGGGGAAGAACTCAAATCATAGTGTTCCTGTTAATAAATTAAAATCACTTCATGTAGCGCAAAAATTGTGCATTTTTTGTTCTGAACAGCATAGCTTAAGACAGTGCAAGAAATTTGTATTAGAACCGGTAGACGTTCGGCGCAAATTCGTCCGAGACCGTAACTTATGCTTTAATTGCATGGGTGACAATCACTCCGCCAAGGATTGCAGGAATATGGCGATGTGCCGTATATGTAAGCGTAAACACCACTCTTTTTTACACCCCAGGGGTGAGGCTATCGAAGAAAGTTCGAAGATAAATAATCAACAGGACGTATCCAATGAGAATATTGCCACTTCGAGTACGACAAAAAATAACTTTGAAGGTAAAGCAGCTTCAATATCATGTTTTTCGACAGGAACGGTGTTTGATCAGGGCGTACTCCCGACGGCGGTAGTTACGGCCTCGTCGAAAAATGGTCATAGTCACACGATTCGAGCTTCATTAGATCAAGGCTCTCAATCATCTTTTATAACGGAGTCGGCAGTACAATTCTTGAGGTTGAAAAAATCTCCAGTAAGAGGACTCATACCACGTGTCGGAGATGAGCAGGAGTTCATATCCAAGGCTGTCGTGGATCTTGAAGTAGGTTCTAAAGTTGACCCCAAAGTTACCATAACAGTAAAGGCATATGTACTGAAAACCATAACCGGTCTTTTGCCATCTAACACTATAAATACAATGGACTGGAAGGAATTTACGGAACTGCCACTGGCCGATCCACAATTCCATATCCCGAATCGAATCGAATAGATTTGTTGCTAGGAGCAGGATTTTGCAGCAAAATTCTGCAGACGAAGAAATCAAAGAAAAAACTTTTACTGAAGAAGAAAGAAACTGTGAGGAATATTTTTCTGCCACAACTCAACGTGACTCAGTTGGACGATATGTGGTACGCCTACCACTAAAGTCTGAGAACCCAGAAGTTACAGGTTCTCGGGAAATAGCTGAAAGCAGATTAAAGGCATTAGAAAAAAGATTAGACAAGAATGAATACTTAAGAATTAAATATAAAGAAGTATTAAACGAATACTTGATGTTGAATCATATGGAGCTAGTTCCTGTGGAAGAAAAGGAAAATTCAAGAGCGGTATACTTACCTCACCATGCGGTGATTCGTGAAGACAAGACGACTTCCAAGGTCAGGGTTGTGTTCGACGCCTCCTGCAAAGGGAAAAATAAAATGTCACTAAATGATTACCTAATGGTAGGACTACCTTGCAAATGGAGCTCAGACACATCATCACACGATGGAGGACTTCGCCAATCTGTTTGTCAGCCGACATTGTGAAAATGTACAGGCAAGTTGTAGTGAACAAACAAGATGCTGATCTGCAACGGATTCTCTGGAGGGAAGATACTGCATCTGAAATCAAAGAATATAGATTACTACGTGTGACTTTCGGAACTGCTAGCGCACCATACTTGGCGGTGAAGGCTTTACAGCAAGTAGCTCTTGACGAAGGCGCAGCGTATCCATTGACATCTGAAAGGGTAATTCGTGATTTTTACATGGATGATCTTTTAACAGGGTGTGCAAATAGAGAAGAAGGTATAAAAATATATAAAGAAATGAATGAACTATTGAGCAAAGCAGGGCTAGAATTGCAAAAATGGATAACGAATGATAACGAGTTACTGGAGAAAATGATAGGAAGTGGAAAAAATAGTGGAAAAGGGAAAGAAGAAATAAAAATAAAATCAGATCATGTGACGAAAGTGGTAGGACTTACCTGGAGCCGCAGAGAAGACACGTTCAGCTACTCGGTGAAATTGCCAGACCTAAAACACCCTGTGACAAAAAGAAAAATCATATCCGACATATCTCGATTTTATGATCCACTTGGTTGGGTTGCACCCAGTACAATTATTTCAAAAATGATGATTCAAAAATTATGGCTTGCAGGTATAGATTGGGATGAAGAAGCACCTGATCAGTTACTGAAGGAATGGCAGATTTACCGTGAAGAACTTGCACTTCTTGCAGATATCCGCATACCCAGATGGATGAGAACTAAGGCAAGTGATAAACTAATAGAACTCCACGGTTTCTGCGATGCCTCTAAGGTAGCATATGCAGCGGTAGTATACATCCGTGTGGTCAATTCGAACGAACAGGTTCAGGTTGCATTAGTTGCTGCAAAAACAAAGGTAGCACCAGTTAAGCAAGTATCAATACCACGCCTGGAACTATGTGGAGCGGTCCTAGTGACACGATTACTCAGAGAGATAGCTGGAGTTATGAAAATTAATCATACTCACCTGCACGCCTGGACAGACTCAACAGTCGTTCTATCGTGGCTTAGCGAGCATCCAAATCGTTGGAAGGTGTTTGTGGCTAACCGTGTCTCCGAGATCCTAGAAACTTTAGACACGAATCACTGGTCTCACGTTGGAACAAAACAAAATCCAGCAGATTTTGCTTCTCGTGGCTTGCAGCCTTCGAAATTATTAAAAAATGATATGTGGTTCAACGGCCCAGGATTTTTAAAACAATTAAAAATAAACTACGAGAAGCCAAAAATACTATCAACTAATTTGGAAGAAATTATAATACCCAAAACTCACTGCGCTACAGTGCAGACTTCATTATTTGAAAGGTTCCCTTCATTGACAAGAATGGTCAGGGTACTTGCCTATTGTAGACGTTTTACCAACAACGCAAGAAAATCCAAAGGCAATCGAACAACTGGACACCTTTCCACAAAAGAGCTAAATGATGTCCTCAACCTCTGCATTAGACAAACTCAATTAAGTAACTTCAGTGAAGAGATATATAAACTACAGGAAAAGAAAAACTTACCTTCTAACAGCAAACTCCGTTCGTTGAACCCCTATCTGGATGAAGCCGACATTTTGAGAGTTGGAGGCAGATTGGAACATTCCCAACTCGGAAGAGATCGAACGCATCCTATCATCATGCCGAAGCAGTCGTATTTGACTCAACTTTTAGTTTCCGACGCACACAAGCAGACACTGCACGGTGGACCTCAGCTGACTTTGTGCTACCTCCGGTCAAAATATTGGATAATAGGTGGTACACTATTGGTCAAAGCATATTACCGCAAATGTGTGACATGCGTAAAAAACAATGCAGTCACTAAACAGCAGCTCATGGGACAAGCACCTCCAGCTAGAGTCACGCCCACTCGTGCGTTCGAAAACAGCGGTGTGGATTTCGCAGGTCCAATTCAAATAAGAACAGCCAAGGAGCGAGGGCATAAGTCGTATAAAGGCTAGCATATATAGCCTATTTGTATGTATGGCCACAAAGGCAATACACTTGGAAGTAGTGAGTGATCTCACGTCACAAGGATTCTTACAAGCGTTCAAGAGATTTGTGGCAAGACGTGGTCATTGTTTACACCTGTGGAGCGACAACGCCACAAATTTTCTGGGAGCTTCGACGGAATTGAAGAGACAATTTAAAGCGGAACAACAACACGTTCAAGGGGAAATAGCAGAGTCACTTGCTACAAATTATTGTGAATGGCATTTCATACCTCCCCATTCGCCTAATTTCGGTGGGCTTTGGGAAGCCGGCGTAAAATCTGTGAAATATCACCTCAAAAGAGTCGTTGCTGATTCAACCCTAACGTATGAGGAACTGGCTATAGTTTTAGCACAGATTGAGTGTTGCTTGAACTCGAGGCCTCAATTCAGTTCTGAATGATGACCCGGACAACGTCCAGGTGCTAACGCCAGGACATTTTTTAATCGGCGAGGCCCTAGTTACTGCACCTGACTACAATCACAAATTGGAAAATGTAAGCTCGTTACGACGGTGGCAATATACTCAACGGATGCTACAAAATTTTTGGAATCGGTGGTCTCACGATTACTTAACGAAATTCTACCAACGGTATAGATGGTCGTCAATAACTCCTCAGCCAAAACTAGGTGATGTGGTTATTGTAAAGGAAGATGGATTACCACCATCTCGATGGCTTTACGGTCGAGTGATTGATACTCATCCAGGTACGGACGGAATTGCGCGGGTCGTCACTCTAAAGGTTAAAAATGGGACGATTAAAAGACCATCTTCTAAATTATGTCTGTTACCCGTGACCTAATAGTTTTATAATTACAAAAAATATATTTACATGTAATATTAGTTTTACCTATTATTGTTACCTAGAAAGCATCTTTTTATAATTTAGTTATATTAAAAATGTGAGATGTTACAATATTATATTCGTGTAAGTCCGAAGGTTCACTTTGGTCTTGGTGGGCGGAAAATGTTAAAGAAACTTTATACCAAAAAAATATTACTTAATTTTTTATAATAGATGGCGCTAGTGAAACCAGTTGAGATTTCTGTATCGCGCTAGCATTTGTCTCACCAAGATTAAAGAGGTTCTCGACTGTGGTTATGTAAAAGGCCAATTAGGTTTAGGTTCACCTTTAGGCCTTAGGTTCACAATGTTCGCAACATTGTGAACCTAAGGCAAACCAAATTGGAACCTTATACCGAGTAAATATTACAGTGTTTATTTCTCGAAAAGTGTTTTCATTTGTGCATAGCTGAAATATTCCCCTGGGAATTTGAACAAGAACAGTGTCTTGTACAAGCATCAATCACTGTTTGAATGGAATGTGTTTTGTTTCTGTCATATATATTAATATAAGACCGTACAATTCGCTCATTTATGAACACAAGGTTGAAGTACTGTGTGAATGAAATGTATTGTGCTTTTTTGAGATTCAACAGTCCCTCTCAAAAATGACAACACATTTTTACGTTAAATTATAAATCATCATATGACAACAAACTTTATTCAATGAACATAAGGCTTTTTTTTAACAATTTTAGCTAGTTTATATAAGAATTATTGAAATTAATGAGACGTTATCACTTTAGCAAAAATATCAACTGTCAATGTATTGAAGCTTTATTACTATGTAATTCATTAATTCTCTTTTGTTTCCTTGCTAACTCAACGGATCTTTTAAAAGACCTAGGGGCAAATTGTACTTCTTTTTAAGGACTGTTATTTACATTCCAAATAAATACATAATAATACTTTAACATGCCGCTCTAAACCCCATAACACTCCTGCTTATGGCGAGATGCCACCTTGGGACTTTCCACCAACCACCACAGTGAACGGAATAAAAAGTTCAATCCCCTGAAGCACGACAGGATTGAAATGAGGAATGCTTTGACATCGCGAGTGCTGTCCAAAGTGGCTGACCATACATCAGAAGTTTGTCATTATGTTTGGCAATTTTATATTGGAGAAAGTAAATTATTTTATTACGACAATATTATAGATTCCGTCGTCTCCTCCCTGCTGAAAGCCGACAACTGTAAAATTTTAGCAGGCTACTACTATGGCATACAGTAAAGTAACAGTCTATACATGTCCCACTGCTGGGCAAAGGCCTCCTCTATACAGAGGGTATCAGGGCATAGTTCACCACGCGGCCCCACTGCGGATTGGCGGACTTCACATATCTTCGAAATATTTTTTTTTTGTTATTATTTCGAAAATATGCAGGTTTCCCTACGATGCTTTCCTTCACCGCGGAGCACGTGATTATACAGCACTTAAAGTTAAAAACTTCATTGGTGCCGGCACCGTCGATCGAACTCAGGTTGCTCGAGTATATTGAATTAAAGGCGAGCGCCCGGACACTGAGCTATCACGGCTCAAATATAGCATACAAACAAAAATAATTTAAATGATAGAGAACTATAAAAAAATCAAAAAGATCCGACACAGAGCACCACAACTCTGTGGCCTTGT